GTTGATGCTATTTCCATTTGAATGAGGAAATAGCGTCAATGACTTTAATTCCAAATTTTTGTTGACTTTATTTCGCTTTTGAAAAGGTAATAATGTCAATTGACTTTATTTCACACCAGGGTGGGAAATAAAGTCAATTGACCTTATTTCCATTGACCTTATTACCTGTCACCGTAGTGGTCCTAACTAGTTAGAGGTGTGCAAATGGAAATTCTGAATATCGATATAGTAAAATCGATATTTTCAAAAGGATCTTTCCATTTGAGTAACTAGTCAAAAGCTGTATTTAAAAAAGAATTCAAACTGCGATATTTTGTAAAGCAATTAAGATGTTCATTAATTCGATTAGGTTCTTATGCTTTTAGTAGCTGATAGAATTATAATAGATTTTTTTTTATGAAATTGAAAACTTGGTTTTTTTTTGTATTGAATAGTTATAGATTTTTTTTCTTAAAAAGTTATCAAATAAAAAAGTCTTATTTTATTATGTACGTATTTGTTATGATAGAAATTGATGCTTTTAAGAAATGAAAATGAAACTTTGTTTTCGAATTTTTTCTGGGTAAAAATTTATCGGTTTTTCTCATTGTAAATGCAACGATTTTTTTATGGTAAACGTAATGAAATCGATTATAGTTAATGAAAATAAATTGACTAAAAAAATTTTCCAGATTTTGTTGTACCGATTTGCTACCAAGGAAATGTTAATAGTCATTAATATCGAAAATGGTCTGTTTCAGGAAACAAAATTGAAACTGTGCTATCAAAAGCTTTTCCTTCTAGAAAGATATTGCCAAATTATCTTCTATTTTTTATTGAAAAGTTATCGATTTTTTTTTTGTTATTGTAAACTTAAAGATATTTTCCCAATAAAAAGTTATCGATGTTTAATATTAGGAATATTTTATAGTTTAGAAAATGAAGGAGAGTATATATGTATAACTACAAAATGAAATCGAGAACAGAATTGATAATAACGAATCCGATGTTTTTTTAAAATGGAATGAAAAAAATAAAATTTGCCAGCGATTTTATTTATAATATTAATTATCGATTTTTTCTGATTGAAAATTTGACAATGCGCTTTTTTCTTATAGAAAAGTTATCGATTTTTGTTGTTGAAAATGATTAGATAATTCGCCACTAAAAGGTTGTTATCGTTTTTTAATATTGGCCATAGTTCATAGTTAATAGAATGAAAAAGAGTATACGTATGTGTATAACTTATAAAATGAAATCGGGAACAGAATGCAATTATCAAATCCGATGTTTTAAAAAATGGTAGGAAAAAATTAAAATTTGCTAGCGATTTTTTTAAAATTATAAATTTTTTCCTATTGAAAATTTCCGACTTTTTCTTATAGAAAAATCATTTATTATTGTTTATTGAAAATATATCGATTTTTATTGTTAAACTATTTCATATGTAGTTATAATAACAAAGTCGATTATAACTCAATGAATTAAGGCGATTACTTAATAAAAAATATAAAATTTTTGTATAAATACTAGAGTGTCAGTTACTGTCGTAATTCGAACGTTTTTCTAGTTTTTAAGAGCCTTGGAAAGCGTTTTCTAACTTAGAACGTATCTAAGCTTATAAGCTACAAAGTCACTTACCGGAAAATTTTCTGCTTTGGAACTAAACCGTGACCACAATTTTTTATATCTTTGAAAGTCCTTGGAGAACTTCGGCAGGACTTGGAATTGACCCAATACATTCCAGTTTATTGATAAATTTCAATGATTTGATACATATCGATAATTCGATGAAATTCAAAAACACTAAAATCCGATAACTCAACGATAATTCAACGAAATTCGATAACGCAACTAAATAATTTCAATAACTGCGAAATTCAAGGGCTCGATAAATTTCTATAACCCAAAAGTGTATATATCGATATAAATCGATAACTCGATACACTTTGAATGCCTTTATACATTTTTAATTTAGACAGCACCATATTTTTCGAAAGCTGTCTACAAATTTCGGTAACTTGTTAAATTCTGTTAACACGATAAAATTCGATAAGCAGTGATAACTCGATAAACTTATATAACTTAGAAATTGCGATAAATCGATATATTTTGAAAGTTCCATAAACTTCGATAGACCAATTTCAGTAGATAATTATCGATAACTTTGTAAGTTGAAAGAAGTCGATAGGCCATACGATAACTCGATAAGTTTCGTAAAGTCTAAAAATAATGATAATTCAATAAATCTCGATAACTTGATAAATTTCTTTAATTTGACAAATTTCGATAATCCCATAAATTTTTATAGCTCGATAACTATTCGTAAATTTTGCCAACTAAGTTTCTGTGTCTACAAATTTCGACAACTCAATAAACATTGATCAATTTGAATAATTCGATACGTTGCGATAACTTAATAAGCATGGTTAAATTTTGATAATTATTAACTTCGATGAGTCGATAAATTTCGGTAAATTTTATGACGAGTTCGCGTCAACTACTTTATACAATTTTCTTTGAAGATTCGTAAAAAAAATCGTTACAAAAATGAGATACTCCTACAGATTTCGTTAAGATTTCGGGAGCTTTGGTTTGCAGGGAATACACATTGCACATATGTATGTAAATATATATTTCCCCAGCTCTGCTAAGTTATAGTTTGAGGGCGACTTTTGATACTGTTAATTTGTTTCGCGCTCCTTCTTCATTCTTCATTCGTAGGGTCTCATATGTGCATTTAAGTTTTTTTCACACTGGTTTTGTTTTGCAAATTCTCAATATCGATTACTATTTATTTTCCATGCGTTTGCGCTTTTTACCGCTGCTGGTGCTGCCCTTCATCACTGTCATTGTGGGCTGTTAGCAATTTTTCTTTTTTGGTTTCATAAAATATAGTTTACGGTTCTTCTCACTTTCGCAACATGCTAAATGGCCATCGATTTTTTTTTATTTCACTTTTCAATCAACACCCACACATGCACACTCAAATGCACGTGTAAGTGGGGGAAAATACTGCTGAAACCAGCTGGTTGTGCCTATGGCAGTATATGCGACCAGAAATGCACATATATTCGTACATATTTACACAAGCGCAACGGACTTGGTTTGGTCTGTTCTGGGTGGTAATGCTATGAAGTTTTACATGTGAGTCGCTTTTAGTTTTAAAAAAGCATTTATACCTACGTTCGAAATGGTTGAGAATATATAAATTTTTGTAAAATATTTATGGGGACGGTTCTTAATTAGATTGTTGGGTAGGGCATCAAAAACATTAAAGTTTATGGGGTGGAACATTGAAACTGCGTTATAAGTTCAAGAAGATCGACTTTGAGCCCCCACTGCGAAGTGGGTTTCTTCGACAGAAAATATTGAAAAATTGACGTCGTCCTAAGCGAAAATTCCAACAGTCAAAAATGGCTCAAACAAATCGACGGCCAATATTCAATACCGCCTATCTGCAATTAAAAAAAAGAGATTCTGACATAAAAATTCATCTGGAACTTAGTTGTCATCGGTGTATTTCAAAGTTAAACTTACTTTTAGAAACATGAAACGTAACTAGCTAATTGTGAAACTAGCCATGGCTAAATCTCTGTGGCTAATGAATCTGTAGCAGTGGTATTGAGACTCTCTTCAAGACAAATACTTATGTATATACAAATACAAAAAAAAAAAATCCTTTTGGAACTTTGTGAAACATGAAAACAAGAGATGGTCTGGAATTCAGACTTTTAAGGTAGCGCGCGAGCTTTGGCATTCGTAGGACAAAGACAGTGAATAAGCTACATAAATTGGCCAAGAGTAGAGGTGTAGCAGGATTGTAGCAACTATCAACCAATTGTCGGTTGTTAGGAAAAAATGCTTCTGGAAAATGGAAAATGCCGCTGTTGTTATATTAACGGAAGCGAGAAAACTGTAGTTAGTTTCCTGTGCAAATGATAATAAAAACTTGTTCATGCATTAACCAAAACCATATCAATCAAAGTTTGAAAATTTAAAAAAATTCAACAAATTTTCATTAAAATTTCGAATTTTGCAATCTGAATTTTTAGAACATTTTTGGTTCTGCACTTTTATTGCCTGCCCATAATAGTAAAGTTACAAGCGGCTGATTTTTAAATTTTTTTTGCTGACGAATTTTCAAAGATTTTTCTTATAAACATGAATTCCTTCAAAAAATCAACTGTTATATAAAAATTTATTCAAAAGTTTGAAATTTTAATGAAGAACGGACTTTGACGAGATTTTCTCTAATATATTCTGTATTGATAGGAGAGTGACTTTTTAAATATATAATTTTAATAGGGTTGCCACCTGTTAAGAAAATTGCTAAGGTCAATTTTAATGAGCGTAGGCGTCAGTTCTGCACCGTCATTATCAAATGAAAAGATTTAGCCTCTGGATGTGTATTAATGTATTATTTTTCTGAGTAGGGGGCAACCCTGTTTAAAAACTATAAGGTCTTCACCGTCCGTTGGATAAAAAAATTAGATACCAAATGAAAGTGCATGTACAAAAACGTTAAGTCTTTTGAGTAGGGTTGCCACCTATTTAAAATTACTATCTTCTATACATAGTATAAAGAAAAGGCGAGAACGGATGTAAACAAGATTTTTTATGTATATAATAAACGAAGTACATGATGACATATGATTTTTTTCTCTAAATACGTAAACGTACATACATCAAGCGTTATATAAAAATTTATTAAGGAGTTTGAAATTTTGATGAAAATTTTTTGAATCATTCAAAATCTTGTAGAAATTATGAAACTTTGGTTTATATGGTTTTAGTTAAAGCAAGAAAAATATTTTCACAAAATGTAACAGTATAAATTTTTGACTTGAAAGCCTTGTGCAAAAAAATATATAAGACTTGCGAACACTTCTGTGAGCCACAGTATTTGTTTTGATCTTTCTCTCTCCTCACCTTTCTTCTATACTTTATGCTACATTTTTAATCAACTGAATTTTTACTCAACTATTTTATACTTAAATAACTCCTTTTGCCAAACTCACCATATGAAATCCTTGCAATGTGAACAGAATGTTGGCTGCTTGAAGAAGCGTGGTATGAAGAAATGATCCTTTACTGCAAACACGTTCTTCTTCTTGAGGGCGCCCTTACGTAGGCGTGACTTCATTTTATTTTCACTACCGCCAGCTTCATCCTGCAGCGACTGCTGATCGCCATTGTTGTCTTGCGTTTCGGACATGATGGTTATATTTATTGTTGTTGCTGGTGGATAATTTTTGTTGTGGTTATTTTGTTTTTTTCTATTGATTTCAAGGTTTGTATTGCGCTTAAATATTAATAAGTTTTTTATACTACTTTAGTACATATTTACTGCAGTGCATATATACAATTACGTGGTGGAATGTTAGATTTTTATTTGGTTTATTATGTAATTTAGTGAAGCTTTAAACTTTTTCTTGCTAGTACTTAATATTGATTAATTAATGATTTGAACATATTTTCTAAATATTTTTTTATTTTTATTTTTTTCCAATTTTATTTTTTGTTTGTTTATTTTTTTAGTGATATTATTTATTTACTTTTAACAATTAGATTTTGCCGACTTTGAATTTTTATGAACTCTGTTGCTGTTTAAATATTTCTGAGATTCTAATTATTTACACTAGTTCTACGTATATGTAATAAAATTTGTTTGACGTATTAAAAAAAAATATTTTATGATTTTCGCTCATAACTTTTCGCTCTGTTGTTTTTTTCAGCTCACTTCACTTTCTTTTTTCACTTTAGCGAAAAATTAATTTACATTTCCCTTATAGACTGTAATTAACTTCTAATGTTAATTTCATTTATCTTTTTAATTAATTTTATTTATTTAATTACGTTTTTTAGGTTTTTCTTCGACTTATTGTTTTTTGTGTTTTTTTTTTTTTTGTTATTTTTAATAGTTTTTCTGGCATTCCCTCAAACCATTTGCAATTTTCCTCCTCTAAATACCTTTACGCTCACAAATAAAGCGCCGCATTTATTTCCATCGATTTTGCTGCTAATCGATTTTTGTGCATTTGCTTTTACAATTTTTTCTTTTATTTAATTTTTTTTACATTTTTTTTCGCAATTTTGCTTGCCCATTTCTTTACTTTGCTATTTTACTCGCACTCTCCGACACCTGGTTACAGCGTTGTACACATATCACTATGGTATATTTTATTATTTATTTAATTTATTTGTTTGTGAATATTTGCCTTTTTCTATGAAATTTTTACACATTTTTTCTCCGAAATAAATTCTGTGCTAAGCAGTTTTTATTGCCTACAGCTGTTGTTAAAGTTTGTGGCTTTTTTGTATGTATGTATGTGTGCTTCTACTTATGCTAGATTTTAAGTAATTTCTCCGCTGGTTTTATATGTAGTGTACACCTGTATTTAGTTTTGGAATTTTTGACTATTTTTTATTTTGTTTTTGTTTTTTTTTGTATTTGTTTATGCTGGTTGGTGGTAGATATGTGATTGAATCGGCGGTTTATTTATTTTCTATTTTTACTTGAAAACTGAATGGCTTTCAGTGTTTAATTAAATGCTCCTGAAAGTAAAGAAGAGTTAAAAACAATTGAGTATAAAATCATGTGAGTAAATGCAATGAATATTTTTGGTTATATGTTTTTATTGCATTTCGGATTTATACTTGCATGCCTTAATGTTTGAATGTTTTGGATTGACCTTTTATAAGAGATTCAAGTTCGAATTAACATATCGAGCCTCAACCGACAAAAAGATGTATGTGACATTTTTTTAAAAATTTTCGTTTTGATGCAGAAACGTTCCTAGATCACCTGGATATATTTCTGCATCAAAAATAAAATTTTGAAGAAAATGCCGCTTACGTCTTTTTGGCGGTTGGGGCTCGATATACTTAGACCCAACTCTAAGTAAAACTAGCCGAGCCATATGTGATTTTATAAGCCTTTTTGGTCTAAACTCTAAGTAAATGTAATGGCTATACCTAACGCTCGTATCCTTTTCCAGACAAAAATACTCTATATTACTGCGAAAAATTCCGTTTCTCAGTATTTCCATTTAAGAAAGAATTTTTTTTACGGTGCGAGTACTTGTTATTTTTAGAAACAGTCTTTAATAAAGTAAAGAAATTTCTGGTAGGATGCTAGACGTTCTGGTTTTCCAGCATATGTTCTGCTTACAGACAAATTGTTCTGGCGTCCTGGCACACACTTAAATTGCTGGTTTTTAATGGATGTCATTGCACACATTTCATTTTGGTAGATTTTCGCCATTAAAAAAATTTTAGCTTTATAGTATTAGTAATAAAAAATTGATGACGAAACATTTTTTCGAACATGTTGAACAATATCTGATGAGTGTGCCTTCTTTATTATTT